CATCTGTGGTATAACACAGACAATGGAAGGGAGGCAGGAAAGGCTGGAGGTACAGGAGCTAGTCCGATGGGGATGCCAGCATTCATATGATCACTGAACAGAAGAGAGCTAAGGTGGAGAGCATGCAAGCAGAATTGATAGGTCTGTGATGAATTGCATCTCAGAGTGACAGAGGGTGAGGTGCCTGCCCTTGAAGTCTTCCTGGTTTCTTACTTACCAAATTGGCAGATGAGGCTGGCATTCACCTTGGTAGGAAGGATAGAAACAGAGTGGGGTAGGAAGCAGTTGCAGGGCAAGGCTGGGGTTGAGGTACCAGGAGAGTTCACTGAAGTCGACATGACACGCCAGGAAGAGCTGGGTGTAAGGGCAGAGTCACTGGAGTACCGGCGACACCGTCGAGTTCTAGATCTGAATGAGGCGTCTCAGTGTGCACAGCATGCTGCAAAGATCAACAGGCGAGCAGCATGCTGCAAAGATCAACAGAAGACGAGAATAAAGCAAAGCGACAAGGAGATCCAAGGGAAATCAGAAAAGGACGCACCCAGGAAGTCAAAGGGTTAGGAGAGAATTCAACATCCAATGCTAGAAAAAAAAACAAAAAACCACAGCTACAATGGGAATGATGAGAGGACCCTTTGCATTTGAGAATTTGAATAAGTTGCTAACCTTCTTCTTTTGTTTGTTTGTTTTTTATGATTGCTAACCTTAGGAGAGCAGTTTCAGTGCAGTGGTGGGCTGGACCAGGTCTGTTTGAGCTTAGTGAGCCAGATCATTGTGGGTTGGAATAGACAGCCACCATCAGGAAGTGCTATAGGGAGTGCCCAGAATTCCTTCAAGGAGCTTAGCTCTGAATGAAGGCTGTGAGTCACAGGGAAGAAATTAAAGGGGTGAAGGTCTTCAGAGAAGCCTTTTCTCAAAGTGGATATAAGCTAGAAAGGGAGGGTGGAGGGAGAGAGGGGTGGTGAGAGAAGGAAGAAAAGAGAGGGGGAAGAGTGAGAAAAGAGAGGGGGAAGAGGGAGAAAAGAGAGGAGGAGGGAGGGAGAGAAAAAGAGAAAGGGGAGAGAGAAGGAAAGAGAGGGGAAGAGAAGGGGGAGAGGGATAAGGAGGGAGGGAAGGAGAGAGGGAGAGAGGAAGAAGGAAGGTATAACATGAGGGGGTGCTGGGCAGGGACAGAAAACCCCACAAACAAGCCAGCCCCCCATGAGTGACAGAATACAGACAATTCTCCCGCACCAGGAAGGGAAGGGAAGGAGAGAGGGAGGTACAGAGGAAGAGGAGGAGAAAGGGAAAGAGAAAGAAGGAGAGGGGGAGGGAGAGGGAAAGCTCAGAACTCACAGGGCAAAATGATATGGGGGGGGGTAGAATAGGTGATGTAGATGAGACCACTGAAATAGGCCCCAGTATCTTAGTTTAGCTCCTTCACCATCAATTGGTGGGTAGCCCTAAGATACAAATGTCAGGATTAATTCAGTGCATTGGGTAAAGAACACTTGGTACATACATATTTTTGTAGTGTGCTGAATGTGGCAGGTGGTCCTAATGTTTTTGTTTTGTTTTACATTTATTTATTTAGGAGAGGGTGGGGTATGTGTGCGTGTGAGTCAAATGTCAGCTTCTGGCTGGGTCCTGGAGATTGAACTCAAGTTGTCAGGCAAGCACCCTTACCTGCTGAGCTCTCAATGGCCCTGGTATTTTAACTTGTTAGGTCATCCCCCTAATCAAAAGCAACACCATTGAATCATTTACAGGAAGTAAAGCTAGAAGTTTATCCAAGCTTCCAGAACCTGGCTCTACCCTTGGCCTCCCTGCCCTCTCCAGCCAGCCCCGCTGTTATGTCAATTGCCCACAAACCTGCATTGCCCCCGAGCTACCCACCAGCTCCTCTGGACCCTGCTTTCTGCCTGCCTCCAATGGAGCAGCTGCCACACTCCCTCACTCTTGCCTGTTCGTAGAACAAGGAAGTCCTTTGCAGCCCTGCCCCTCCCTGACTAAGGCCCCTGAAAGCTCTTAGTACTTGATACTACTGACCCCTTATCCTGCAGGTCCTGGCCCCAGACCCCAGTCATCTTATCTGATGCAAATAGACTGTATACGTGAGGCACAAACACAGCACTTCTATGTCCTCCTAAGCAGTGACCACCGTACTTACTTTATTCATATTCCTTTGCCCATTGTCTTTTCTCTGTTCTCTTCTGAAACAGAAGCTCCACAAGGGCTTGTCTTATTCCCCCCCACCCTGTCTCCTTCCTTCCCTGTGTCTAGTAGTTGATAGACCCTTTAGAAATAGGTTTCATAAATAAAGCAACAAACAGCTACTCCATTTTAAAAAGCCCGGTTTGCATGCTGCCTCCACCGTGAACACAAATAACGGTTTGTATGCTTTGTGCTTGCTTTCTTCTGTCACTATACCGCATTGTCTCATTGAATGAACCTCCTCCACTAGCCTCCCAAGACTCATAGAGCAGTTATAACCCAGGCCACACACTCCGCGAAGCCACAGGTTGACTTCTTGTTTGTTTTTCTTGTTGTTTGGGGGGGGTTGTTTTTGTCTTCCGGTGCTGCCGACTGAACCCAGGACGTTGGGCATGCTAGAGGAACGTGCTACCACTGGGTACACCCCAGCCCTTGCTTTAGTTACTCTCTCATGCATCACTCCGTTTGCTCCAGTGACATGCTTGCTTAGTATTCCTCCACATCCAGCACCAAAGCATCCAGAGAGAGATCCAGGGATGCTGAGAAACTGAAGACGCCCTCAGGGTAAGTCATCTTTATTGTAGCAAAGATAAACATGGTGTGACATTAGTGCAAACAGTGAAAGCAGAATGTATTCAGTAACCACTGACAGGAAGAAAAAGTGGGGTTCATTCAGACCTGTGTGTGTGTGCTGTTGTTGTTTTGTTTAGAGAACATGAGGGAGTAGGGACTGAGGAAAGGAACCCAGGCTTCAGCAGTGAAATTTTAACCAAGTGTGAAGTGTGAAGGGAGTGTAGCCCACATGAAACTAATCAGAACTGTTGCCTGTGGTATTCAGGCTCCTGCCCTCCCACAGAGGCTGGGAGATGGCTCCCTGGAGTTGTGTCAGCTAGAACAAACAATTCTTCTGCAGTCTGGATTTTCTCAGGCATTTTAAGGGGAACTGGGCACTAGAATGCCGCCTTGGGGTGTTGTGAATCTTGCTAGCATCTGTTCAGATCTTTATAGGCCAAGGTTGAGGCCTAGCTGAGAGGAGTCTGATTAGGGTTTGATCAAGAAGAAAAATCTTGATCCACTAAGAACTTCAAAGAGAAATTACGGGCAAGCAGGAAACCCTGCTCTACTTGAGAATCACAGTTAAAGCAGGCTAGTGTGATCTTTCAGGCTTTTGACACAGACAGTTCAAACTCACTATTTTCAAGAATCTGCTAGAATCTTCTTCACTTTCAGGAGAGAATGATATGATCTTTCAAAACAATGTCTATAAAACTCAAGTTATTTCACACCAAGAAGTCAAAAGAAAGGGTCCCTAGCACTGACTTTTTAAATGTCTGCTTTGAGTGTTGTAGGGTGCTGGGGCCTGCAAGGCTGATGATTCCCGGTGCACCCATTGATGATTTCTGGTAGCCTGGGATCTTTACAAAGCTTCCCTAAATCCCTCACTGTGGTTCTGCAATGGGAAATCCCACTTCACATCCCACCGTCAGCTTCTTTACCACTCAGTACTCTGAAGGTTTGGGGCTCAGATCAGGAGGTGCACTCCCCTCCAAAGAGTTCTTCCATCTCTGTAAAAGATGACAGCAGGGGAATCTGCTTCTATTTCTACCACTGGGTGTGGCCCTCCCTGAGGTTGGCAGTAAACCCAGTCCCCAACAGCTCTTATCCAGCACTCTGTCCCTGAGAGCCCTAAGAGTCATTCCTGAAAACACCTCGGGTTCTGAGCACATCTAAGAGCCCTTTTCTTCTCGGGTCCCACCCTAGAGCAGACATGTGCTGTCTGGAGAATGTCACCCAACCTGTCTGTCTCTACCTGACAGGTAAAACGGAGTCTTAGTCCTACCGACTGTGTTTCCTTGGGGGAGAGCCTCTTCTAATAGAGAGGGTTTTGACTCAAATAGATTTTAAACTTCACAGACCCAGCTATTTAGTGCCATAGACTCTGGGAGCTGCTGTGTTTTCCAACTCCTTCTGTGGCCAGGGTGGTAACTGGATGCTGTGGCTCTAATGTCACACAGTTTCCATTCCAACCCATGAAGTTCTTTCTCTGAGAGTTTAGCAATGATCTCTTTGGCCACCTGCCTCTTTTGCCATTGGAGTGAGTGACCTGCCCTCCCCCTGCCGTGTCAGAGTCCCCAGGAGTTAGGAAGAACTCTCACCATTTCCTGCGTTGTGGTGACACAGCTTCTTTATTTATAGGAGCAAAACCGCTGTGGACAGGGCTCCATCAAGGTGGTCACGGTTTGCAAAAACGCCAGGCTCTCAAGAGTTCTTAAATGTACAACATCCCGGATTGTACCTTAAGGAAGTGGAAAGGAGACAAACCCTAATTCTGTCTTGTAGGAATGGTTTCCGTTAGAGACAAGCCCTCACATCCACTCTGGTCTCAAGTTTAAATCCTAACATCTGCAAGCGAGGACACCCAACGGCGTGTCAGTGGATCATTTACCAGCTATGAAAAAACAAGTAAAATGCTCCATTGCTTCATTTTGTTGTTTGTTGGCTTAATAAGTCAGGGCAACCCCCGCTCTAATTAAAAAAATAATAATAATAAGGTTTGATCCCGTCCCAATTCCTAGGAACTGTCATAGGAAATAGGAGTGACAAATGTTGACATGAAAGGCGGGATTTGAGTTGCAGGAATTCCTGGGCTGTCTCCAGAATCTCCCGGATTAGTCAGTCCTGAAGCCAGCGCCAAGGCCCCAAGGGAGCCTGGGCTGGGCTCCGACCTGAAAGACTGGGTGGGCGGAGCCTATGCGCAGTGGTGGGCGTGGTCGCTCAGCAGACGTCGGGGGCGTGGCCTCAGCGGAGGGGCTGGCGGTGGCTCGGCGCCGGTGGCGGGAAGGAAATGCGCCGGCTGCTCTGTGCTACGTCCGCCCTTCGTTCCTTTTCGTAACCGGAACTGTGGCGACAATCTTGTCCAACTGCTCCTACTCCGGGAAGGGCTACAAACTGCTCGGATTTTGTTACCTTTTCATTTCGTCCGCTCTTCCCGGAAGGTGAAAGGTCGAAGCGTAAATAGACCCACCTCCAGGACCCCAAATCCCCGGCCACACGGGCGCCATTACTCTCCGGACTCATTTGTTAAAGCTCTTTTTGGGGTACGCCTGTGTGGATGATTATCCCCGAAGTGAAGAGTGAGTGTTTAGCTTCTGGGGTTGTAGCTCGCTTGTAGAGGGCACTTGCCTAGCGTGCACTAAACCCTGCGTTCAATCCCCAGCACTGCAGAAAGCAGGCGAGTCTGTGCACGCCTGTACTCCCAGTACTGGAGGAGGAAGCCAGAGGATCAGTAGTTCAAGGTTATCCTCAACTACACAGCTAGATTAAGGCCAGCCTGGGCTAGCCGAGGCTTTCGATGAAAAGAACTTTGGTGTTTGACTGGTTCTGAGTTGGTATTTCGTGGGAATGAGCCTCACACAAGGTCTCTTTTTTCACCCGCAAGGCATAGAGCTTGACGGGGTGCCAAAGCCCTGTTTTACCTTCCTAAAACTTTTGGATAATCCTCACCCACGTTGAACACCCTGAAAACTTATTTTTATGTCTCTTATAGAGCCTTGGCTCTGAAGCGTGCTTCTCAGGGTTTGGGGATGCCGCAACCCAGCCTCTTGATGCAGTGTGAATCCAGTTCACGGGAAGAGGAGATCCCGTCCCTCTTTTGGGGTTTGGATCCTGTGTTTCTAGCCTTTGCAAAACTCTACATCAGAGATATCCTGGAGATGAAGGAATCCCAGCAAGTGCCAGGTATGTGGCCGTTCAGACTAACGGATGCCTTGTGCTGCCCCCACCAGCTCAACTTCCCCAAAGATACAGAAAACTGGGGCCTTAAGGCATCTGGAAGAGCCTTGCTCAGGTTTGAAAGATATCAAGACTCAACCTTGAAGGAGTTCATTTCTGTGCTTTTTCTGCAAATTAAAGAACAATCTAAATTTTTTAAGTTAAATAAAAGTTTGGGGTCTCAACCTTTGCACTGAGGTCCCTCTGTTTCAAGCCCGATGTGAGTAATTCCAACACTTGGTAGGTGGAAGTAGCTCTGATCAGGGGTTCAAATCCAACACAGGTTACATAAGATCTTTTCTCAATAAAAAATAAAGTATTCCATACTTTAAAATACTTAGGCTCTTTTCTTTGGACCTGCTCTTGAGTGGACAGATGACTGAACTAGTCAGGCGTAGCTTGCTACAGTTCTTACCTCTCTGGGGATGTGACCCACTTTCTGCAGAGCTTGGGTGTCCATAGAATGTGGGGGTTGGTTTTGGCTTGAGTTCATCTCAGTCAGTATAATGGAAACTCCTGGGCAGAAGGACATCATCTGGCTTGTCCAAGTGCAGCAACAGCGTCTGCCTGCAGTAGGTAGGCCCTTGCGAACACCAGCGAAAGGAGTAAAGCATTGTGTGTGCAAATGTGTGCTGTGTGTGTAAACACATGTTCATGGAAGCCACCTGGGTGTGCCTCCAGGTGTCTGCCTGGATTTTTTTACTTTTTTATTTTTATTTATTTTTTATTGAGCTATACATTCTTTCCTCACTTACCTTCCTTCCTCCCCTCTCCCCTTCTACCTTACCTACCCCTCATGATCCCAATTTACTCAGGAGATCTTGTCTTTTTCTCCTTCCTAGGTGGATCCATGTATGTCTCTCTTAGGGTCCTCTTTGTTGTCCATGTTCTCTGGGGTTGTGGACTGTAGGCTGTCCATCTTTTGTTTTATGTCTAATATCTACTTATGAGAGAGTATGTAGTGATAGTTCTTCAGTATTTTAATAAATAAAGCTTGCCTGAAGATCAGAACACAAAACGGCCATACTAGTCAGTCATACAGGCCAGGCGATGGTGGTTCCTGCCTTTAATCCCAGCAGCCACACTAGTTAGCCACAGAGGCCAGGAGGTGGTGGTGCACTCCTTTAATCCCAGCACTAGAGTAGAATATAAGGTAGGATAAAACAGGAATTCGCTCTCTTTCAGTCTGAAGATTTCATAGAGGTAAGGGCTCTCTAGTGGCTTGGCTGCTTTTCTTTTCTGATCTTCAGGCATATTATATTTGTCTTTCTGGGTCTCAATTATCTCACTGTGATTTTTTTCTAGTTCTGTCCATTTGCCTGCAAATTTCAAGATGTTATTTTTTTTTTTTACCACTGAGTAGTACTCCATTACGTAAATGTGCCACATTTTCTTTATCCATTCTTCAATTGAGGAGCATCTAGGTTGTTTCCAGATTTTTACTATTATGAATAATACTGCTATGAACATAGTTGAGCAAATGTCCTTGTGGTATAGTTGAGCATCCTTTTGGTATATTCCCAAAAGTGGTATTGCTGGATCTTGAGGTAAATTGATTTCTAACTTTCTGAGAAATCGCCATACTGATATCCAAAGGGGCTGTACAAGTTTGCATTCCCACCAGCAATGCAGGAGTGTTCCCCTTACTCCGTATCCTCTCCAGCATAAGCTGTCATCAATATTTTTGATCTTGGCCATTATGACAGGTATAAGATGGTATCTCAGAGTTGTTTTGATTTGCATTTCTCTGATGGCTAAGGAACTTGAACATTCCCTTAAGTGTCTTTCAGCTATTTGAGATTTCTCTGTTGAGAGTTCTCTGCTTAGGTCTGTACTCCATTTTTTTATTCAATTATTTGTTCTTTTGATGTCTAGTTTCTTGAGTTTTTTTGTATAATTTGGATATCAGTCTTCTGTGTGGTTGGTGAAGATCTTTTCCCATTCTGTAGGCTGCCATTTTGTCTTGTTGACCATGTCCTTGCTTTATAGAATTTTCTCAGTTTTAGGAGTTCCATTTATTAATTGTTGTTCTCAGTGTCTGCTACTGGGGTTATATTTAAGAAGTGGTCTCCTGTGCCAATGCATTCATGTGTACTTCCCACTTTCTCTTCTGTGAGGTTCAGTGTGGCTGGCTTTATGTTGAGGTCTTTGATCCATTTGGGCTTGAGTTTTATGCATGGCAACAGATATAGATCTATTTTCATTCTTCTACATGTCGTCATCCAGTTATGCCAACACTATTTGTTGAATATACTTTCTTTTCTTCATTTTATAATTTTAACTTCTTTGTCAAAAATCAGGTGTTTGTAGGTGTGTGAATTGCTATCCAGGTCTTCGATTCTATTCCATTGGTCCCCCTGTCTTTTTTTTTTTTTTAAGATGTATTTATTTATACAGTATCCTGCCTGTAGGCCAGAAGAGAGCACCAGATCTCATTATAGGTGGTTGTGAGCCACCATTTGGTTGCTGGGAATTGAACTCAGGACCTCTGGAAGAGCAGTCAGTGCTCTTAACCACTGAGCCATCTCTCCAGCCCCTCCTGTCTGTTTTTATGCCAATACCAAGCTATTTTCATAACTGTAGCTCCATAGTAGAATTTGAAGTCAGGGATGGTGATGCCTCCAGAAATTCCTTTATTGCACAGGATTGTTTTGGTTATCCTGGATTTTTTGTTTTTCCATATGAAATTGAGTATTGTCCTTTTGAGGTCTGTGAAGAATTTTGCTGGGATTTTGATGGGTATTGCATTGAATCTATAGATTGTTTTAAGTAAGATTGTAATTTTTACTATGTTAATCCTACCTATGTAAGAGCATGGGAGATCTTTCCATTTTCTAATGTTTTCTTCTTGTCATACAGGTTTTTCACTTGTTTAGTTAGAGTTACCCCAAGATATTTCATAATATTTGTGGCTATTGTAAAGGGTGATGTGTTGACTGAGGTTTCTGTCCCACCTGGCCCTGCAGCCATTCAGTCCTAAATAAACACACAAGAGGCCTACATTAATTATAAACTGGTTGGTCTATTAGCTCAGGCTTCTTATTAACTAATTCTTACATCTTACATTAACCCATTATTCTTGTCTATGTTAGCCACGTGGCTTGGTATCTTTGTCAGCAAGGGATTCTCATCTTGGTTCTTCTGTGACTGGGTCACAACTGCAGACTGACTCTTTCCTCTTCTCAGAATTCTCCTGTTCTCGACACCCAGCCTCTACTTCCTGCCTAGTTGCCCCGCCTATACTTCCTGCCTGGCTACTGGCCAATCAGCATTTATTAAAATACAAGTAACAAATCTTTACAAAGTACAAGACCATTGTTCCACAACAGTGATGTTTCTCTGATTTCTTTCTCAGCCCATTTATCATCTGTATGTAGGAGGGCTACAGATTATTTTTTTTTTTAGTTAATTATTATTGAAGGTGTTTATCAGTTGTAGGAGTTCCCTGGTTGAATTTTTGGGGTTACTTATATATACTATCATATCATCAGCAAATAGTGAAAGTTTAACTTATCTTCTTTCCCAGTTTGTATCCTCTTGATCTTCTTTTGTGATCTTTTTGGTCTAACTAGAACTCCAAGTACTATATTGAATAGATCTAGAGAGAGTGGACATCTTGTTCCTGATTTCAATGAGATTGTTTTGTGTTTCTCTCCATTTAGTTTGATGTTGGCTATTGGCTTGCTGTATATTGTCTATTTTATGTTTAGATAAGTTCCTTGTATCCCTGTTTTCTCCAAGGTCTTTATCATGAAGGGATGTTGTATTTTGTCACAGGTCTTTTCAGCATCTGATGAGATGATCATGTGTTTTTTTTTTTTCTTTCAGTTTGCTTATATGGTGGATTACATTGACAGATTTTCATGTATTGAACTATCCCTGCATCTCTGGGATGAAGCTTACTTGATCATGGTGGATGATTTTTCTGCTGTGTTCTTGGATTCGGTTTGCCAGTATTTTATTGAGTATTTTGCATCAATGTTCTTGAGGGTAATTCTCTTTCTTAATTGCATCTTCGTTTGGTTTGAGTATCAGTTCAGCAATATTCTTTCTGTTTCTATTATTTGGAACAATTTGAGAAGTATCAGTATTCTTTGAAATTCTGGTAGAATTCTGCACTGAAACCACCTGGCCCTGGACTTTTTGGTTGGGAGACTTTTGATGACTGTTTCTATTTCCTTGGCAGTTATAGGTTTATTTAATTAGCTTATCTGGTCTTGATTTAATTTTGGTATGTGGTACTTATTCAGAAAATTGTCCATTTCTTTTACATTTTCCAATAAAATGGAGTGCAGATTTTTTAAAGTATGACCTGATGATTCCCTAAATTTCTTCAGTGTTCCCCTTTTCATTTCTGATTTTGTTAATTTGGATGTTCTCTCTCTCTGCCTTTTGGTTAGTTTGGATAAAGATTTGTCTATCTTGTTGATTTTTCTCAAAGAACCAATTCTTTGTCTCATTGATTCTTTGGATTGTCCTCATTGTCCTCTTTGTTTCTATTTTATTGATTTCATCCCTCAATTTGATTATTTCCAGCCATCTATTCCTCCTGGGTGAGTTTGCTTCTTTTTGTTCTAGGGCTTTCAAGTGTTCTGTTAACTCGCTAGTGTGGGATTTCTCCAGCTTCTTTCTGTGGGCACTTAGTGCTATGAACTTTCCCCTGAACACTGCTTTCATAGTGTCCCATAGGTTTGGGCATGTTGTGCGGTCATTTTCATTGAATTTTAGGACATCTTTAATTTCCTTCTTTCTTTCTTTCTTGACCTAGTGGTGATTCAGTTGAACATTGTTCAGTTTCCATGAGTTTGTGGGTTTTCTGCAATTAGTGGTATTGAATTCTAATTTTAAGCCATGGTGATCTGTTAAGATACAGGGTTAGGGGATGTTGAGGTTTGCTTTGTTACCAAGTATCTGATCAACTTTTTAGAGAAGGTTCCATGAGGTAATGAGAAGAAGGTGTATTCTTT